GGGAGGGGAGCTGTTGCATTGTGGTAAACTGGGGTCAATGACATGAGACAAAGTATATGTGAACTGCTGTATAGAAAGTGAATTTGCTCTATAAATCTTCACCCAAATCACAATAAAATTAATTAATTAATTTAAAAAAAAAGATGTTTTAGGGTTTATAATATACATCTTTAATTTATCACTGTCTACTTTCAAATAAGACTATACCACCTCATATATGCTATAAGAACCTTACAAAAGTATATTTCTTTTTCCCCTCTCCTAGATTTTGTGTTAACATTGTCACACATTTTAATTTTACCTATGTTATAAATGCATAAGTTATTGCATTAAACAATTGTTTTTTGAAAGATATTTTAAATTAAAAAAATATTCTATTTACCCATATAATCCCATTTCTAGTGTCTTCATTTCTTTGTACAGATCTAGATTTGTAGTTTTTTGGTTTTTTTTTTTAGTAACAGCTTTATTGAGATGTAATTCACATACTATATATTCATTTCACCCATTTAAAGTATACAATTCGGTGGGTTTTAGTATATTCAGAGAAACCATCACCACAATAAATTGTAGAACACTTTTCAACTCTCCAAAAAGAAACTACCCACCCATTAGTCACTACTCATTTCTCCCCAAGTTCCCTACCCTTGGGCAACCACTAACCTACTTTCTTTGTGTAGATTTGCAGTTCTGTCAATTTTGGTTCAAGTATTTTAAAGTTGCATTATTAGGTGCATAAATTTTATGATTGTTGTATCTTCTTAATTAATTGACTCCTTTTTCATTTTGAAATGACCTTCCTTTGTTGTTGTTGTTATTTGCTGTGGAATCAGTAATATTCTTTATTCTATAATCTATTTTGTCTGATGTTATTATAACCACTCCAGTTTTCTTTTCGCATATACTCCAGAGAGGCAAAAATGATGTGTAGAAAGGGAAAGTACTTGTAGTTTACTACATGGCTAAACCCTAAATAGCATATATAATCATGATAATGTAAACACTGAATATTGATCTATCCTAAATCACAATAGGAGCTCTGGTAGCGTAGTGCCTAAGGCACTTGACTACTAACTAGAGGGCAGCCACTTTGCCAACACCACCACTCAAAAGCATCAACTCTTCTTTGATGCTCCTTATTCACTGTCTAGCTTTGACATGCATATGAGGCGATTGAAAATATTATGGCTTGGGTTAGGGGCACCTTAGTCCTCTTTGATTTTCTTTGATCTTCAACACTTCAAAGATGTCTTTTACAGAAAATTTGCCAATATAGATGTAGCTGTCCCATTAAAACTTTATTTACCATAACAGGCAGCTGGCCAGATTTGGCTTGCTGTTTACCAACTAGTTCTTTTAGCAGTTCATGGTACTTTCAGCATTCTTCACCAACACCACAGGTCAAAAGCATCAACTCTTCTTCGATCTTCCTTATTCATTGTCCAGCTCTTACATGCATATAAGGCGATTGAAAATACCATGGCTTGGGTTAGGGACATCTTAGTCTTCAAGGAGATACCTCTGTTTTTCAGCACTTGAAAGAGGTCTTTTGCAACAGATTTGCTCAATGTGATACGTCTTTTGATGTCTTGACTGCTGCTTTCATTGGCTTTGATTGTAGAACCAAGTAATACGAAGTCTTGACAACTTCGATCTTTTCTCCATCTATTGTGATGCTGCTTATTGGTCCAGTTGTGAGGATTTTTGTTTTCTTTATATTGAGGTGTAATCCATACTGTAGACTCTAGTCTTTAATCTTCATCAGTAAGTACTTCAAGCCATCCTCACTTTCAACAAGCAAAGTTGTGTCATCTGCATATCTCATGGTTGTTAA